AATAGACATGAACTGTTGAGATTTTTTTTCCAAACCAATACCCACCAATTTCTTTCTAGGTCCTTTTTTTTCAAACATGTAACACATTGAAAGGGGAAAAATAATCTTATCTGAGGAAGCACTTTTTAATCCATCAGAAAATAGAAAAAATGACAGTCTTATCCTTGTTTTTGCATCAAAGCATCCATTCCTAAGAGTTGTGTATTTGATCACAATCATGAATGTTGTCCTGGTTTATAATTTAATGGTCTAAAACTGCTGAAGGTTTGGAGTTTCGATGCTTTAAAATTCACACAGCTCTCTGGTCTGAACCTATCAATCTATTTGCAAACTATTTGCAAATTCCTGATCATCTGTTACATATTTCTCTCCCATTTCATTTTTTTAACTCTTTATTGAACCATTATTCAGTTCTTACCAAATGTGGAACTGAGTGGGAATTTATTTATGTATTTATGATTTGGTAACTTCAGCAGGAAAAAATGGAAAACACATTAAAAAAAAGAAAATATATTTTTAACACTATTAACCTAAAACAAGACCTGAATGGATTTGGAAACTAAACATGCACTTAGAGGCTTCTAGATACAGAGGATCGAAAATAATATGAAAAAAAGAATCATCAGTTGTTCAAAGGAAATAAGTTTAGGAAGCGTATATGTTTCATTTAAGCATTGTGTTGGCTGCTTAGATTAATATATGCATTTCTTTTTAAAGAAACACAGAGGCTTATTTTGATTTTTAACGTTTATTTATCCCTTTCTACATTAATTTTTTTTTTATCTATGTATAAAATTAAACTTTGTATGATCACTTAATTCAAAACAATTTTATAAGCAAATTTTATGGTCAGAATATTATCTTCCATTGAGCAACACCAGACAAAAAAGAGCAAATAAATAAATAAATAAATTAATAAAAAACAAAATAAAAAAAAGAAGGAAATCAGTTTCTCTATCTTTGTGTTTGTGCACATTTCAAATCAAAAGTTGTGTTTTAACGAAATCCTCCTCCTCAGCAGCAACATCCCTCCCTTAAAAACACGCATCATCCAAACAATGAGGACACAGTTGAGATCATGAATTGAACGCGTTTCCTGCTGCGCCGTCGTTCCTCATCAATCATATCTGAGACATCACACACATTCTCATAAGCTGGGCGTGATAAAAAAAAAACCTCCAGTGGCCTTTATGAGAGAGAGGGGACGGTAGGCAACGCATTGTGTGTCACCTGAAACATATCACCACAGCTGTATTATTTTTAATATTGATATATAATGTAAATATTTGTTCTTTTTATGCATGAGACGTTGAATTCTGCAGGAATGCACTAGAAAAACGATCTAGAAATAATAAAAAAAATCCTAAATTATGTGTGTTTACCCTTAATCTGAGTAAATTAGATAGTTTGCCAATGGAATTAGTATTTTTACTCTTAAAATAGGATAATTAGATAAAATGTACTTGAAATAAGACAATGCAATTGTGTTTTTCTTATTTTAAAAGTAAATTGTCTTGTTCCATTGGCAAAATGTCTCTTTTTCCCCTCCTCAATCCAAGAACAAATGCACTTATTTTAAGAAAAAAAATTCGATTATTATTATTATTTTTTCCAGTGTAGCTATGAGTCAATCAGGAGCTGCAGATGAAAGCAGAGGAGATAATCGTTATCAAGTTGGTACATAAAACTGTGACACCTGAAGAGGCTCATCAGCTTGTTACACCTCTAAGAAATAAACAAACCAGAATCCAGATAAAATTAGGATATCTCTATAATTTTTTTATTAATAATAATCATTATTATAATTATAGTCATTATAGGCTGATAATAATTTAATTTTATAGTGTTTTTTTTTTTTTTTTTTAAGTACAGTAGGCCTATTTATCCAAGTTTAGGGAAAGACTATTCGCAGTTCAGACCCAATCTGGCTGTCTTTGTCCAGTTTATAGGCCCAATGGTCAGCTAGTGTGATAAGGCAATTAGATTAGAGAGCTGCATGTCTTCCCAGACAGCAGGCACGGAGGGCCTCAGCGCGGATAAAGAGAGGAGACAGGGCGGCGTCCTGCCACTTCTCCTCCTCCTCACGTTTCCCTGCGGACCCGCGTGTCAGACTAGAAGCACACTTTTGACATCTCTCCGAAAGAAAACACCTCATTCATCAACAAGAAGTGAGAGAGAGAGAGAGAAAAAAGCCCTGAGAGGTGACGGAGAGAGACTGCTGCCGCCTCTCTAAAAACTGCCAACTGAAAGTGATTTGAATTAGTTGGATTTACAGACACTGATTAAATCTTAGTCCCGCACCCCCCCATCAAAAAGAAAACAATAATTATATAAAACACAGACAAAAGGACTAAACCAGAGCGGTCGGATGGAATAAAAAACAAAAAACAAACAAAAAAAACAGACTATATTATTTATATGGGATTCAGTAGCACACAGAAAAACAAACAGCAGTGTAGAAATGGCCTCTATTTATGCGCTCAATAGGAACATTACAATAAACGCATTTCTGCTTTATAAAAATATCCTCTATTAAACAGACTACAGTTTTGGTTAGATTTATTTCTGTTGTAGTTAAAAAAAAAGATAGGATCTTCCAGTAGTTGTGTTCCAGCATGAACAGTGTGTCTAATAAAAAGACAGCAGCAGTAGCCCATGGATATGTCAAACTATAAGGGGTCATTTGTTATCCTTATTCTTTACTAAATCTACAATGGTTATAAGGATTGTAAGGCCTCAGGTAGAATAACAGCAGAGCCCCACTTCCTGATAAGCATCATTATGTTTTTTTTGCTCCCCATTTATATATGTTTATTGTTGCATTCTGTATTGAAATCTACTTTTTTTGTTGTTGACATTTCTCAAATATTTCCTTCAACATCACTTAAAGGTCCCCCCCCCCCCAAAATATGATTTCAGAACCAATGGTTTTATGAAGGCGCCTGACTTTCATTTCAAAGTTGGGAGTTCCGGCCTAGTGGTTAGGGCTTGGAATCTTGAGGTTGTGGGTTCGAGTCCCACCACCACAGACTGCCACTCTGGGTCCCTGAGCAAGACCCTTAACCCCACACTGCTCTCCAAAAAGATGGGTTAAATGCAGAAGTAAATGCCTCAAATGTGAGGTGAATAAAGTTAAATTATTTTTATTATTGGTAATAAATATCATTGATCTCAAATAAGACAGCAGGCTCTGGTCATCCTATGTCAGAGCCCCAATCCTTCTATTATCAAGCAACCCCCCCCAACAAAGTCACTGTATATCTAAAATGTTTTATATTTACCCTTGCCATTGGTGTTAAAAAAAATAATAATAAAATAAAAACTCTAAAGATTTAGGGATTTTTCTTTCTATGTTCTCTAAGATTTCCAATGCTCTTGGACGCTTCAGAAAAGAAGGTAATCTGAACAGCCGCATTGTTCACATATACATCAGGCTGACTTTGTTTGGACATATTAGAACACATCTGAAAAACTTTGCAACTTCCTGGGGCCTTCTGCTACCAATAAGAAATAAGACAGTAGACAGTGACATGTGGGCTAGATGTACCCAGAGAAAGGAGAACCGTCTTACTTTATGCAGCTTAGAAAACATTTTACAATAAATCAGCAAATAATCTTTTCCTGGGATTTCTTGAGAAAGTCTCTGTAATATAGACTTCCTGCAAGTCAGCTTGTTTATTATTAAGATTATTATGCAATATTATAAATATATAATAACAGTAATAAATTAAATAAAATAAAGCATTTATTAACCATAGTAGCCTAGTTTATATGTAAATATTTATTAATAGCTCTGCTGACAAGCTCGTGCTTACTTATGTGTTCCCAAACGCGCACCTGAAAACACCTGTAAATGAAGACAATGATTTAATTGACACCTCGTCACCTTTTCCCTTTTCATCTCCTGTTTTGATCACTTCACTCATCATCACAATGTATATTCGGGCTGAGCGAATCATCGCGGCTCAAAGCGGCAGAAAGCTGAGCAGTTTGTGCATCCTGAAAAGCTGCTGGCAAAGAGTGGCCCCACTGAAATAAACCAATTATGAGTTATTGATCAATGTCGGTTTACAAAAGAGGGGAAATCAATAAAGGATTTTATAGATTATCTTTGGTTTCTAAACGATAGATAGATAGAAGTAGGGAGATTATTATATTATATTATTATTATACACTGCGAAAACAATCTAGAAATAAGTAGAAATGTCTCAAATCAAGTGTATTTTCCCTAATTTTAGTAGTTAAATGGGATTATTTGCGAATGGAATGGTTATTTTTACTATTACAATAAGATAATTAAAAAATATATACTTGTAATTAGACAATGCAGTTGCTTTTTCTTATTTTAAATGTAAATTGTCTTGTTATATTGGCAAAGTGTCTCACTTTACCTCCTCAATTCAAGAACAAATGTACTTAGTTTAAGAAAAAAATACTTATTTAGATTTCATTTTTTGCAGTGCACGAATGATTTAAATATGGTTCAACTAGCTCTACTAAAATGTATCTAATTATTTAAAAGTAATCACATTTCTCAGATTTTCTTTCATTAAATCAAGTTTGATCTATGTGTTGATGCTGCAGCACTTTGAACATCTGCATCTAAGTTTAAAAAACACAATAAATCAAATTAAATTAAATAGTTACCGGTTTTGACCAGACTTTACATGACAATGTAATTAAAAGGTCTATCGTCGTTTAAAGCTGTTGATGAGACTGAAACGTAGTAAATAAAGGAGCCCATTCCAGCTTCAACTTCTCTCTGATTGCGTGTTGAAATCAAAGTTTCTAGTTGCGATCGGGTTTCCCTTTGATTGGAGGGGCTCTCTCAGGCTGGCACCCCCACAGAGCTCCCTGTGCAAGCCGCCCCTGATTGGTCCTCGCTCTGCCTCCTCTCCACCCAGTCAGAGCTCCCAGTCCCCAGCTGGCCCCTGATTGGCCCCGTGGCTGTGGCCGCTGCGCTCCAGGCGCCTCCTCTCATAAACCCAGTCAGAGCTCACTGACGCTTCCCGTTACTCCCAGGAGAAGAAGCAGCAGAAACCAACGCAAAGCGCACAGCTGGGAAACTCCTGCGACTTTATGGCAATCAACTAAAAGGTACAAACTGTTTTTTACTTTCTTTTTTTTCATCCTTCTTTTTCAGTCTTCTTAATGGGATTCATTCGAGTTGTTAAACGCAGCGGGAATGAAGTGGTTATTTCGGGGGTTTCGTTTTATCGCTCACCCCTTATCTCTTTTAGGGTCTTATCAAACGGTTATCTCTTTTGCTGTGAAGACATATTGCATTTTGTTTCCTATCTGTGGTGTCTGTAAACTTGCGCGTTGGTGGGAGTGGAGCTTTTTGACAAGGGCGCTTTATGAAAGCATGGCACTCTTTGGATGGATAATCATTTAGATTCATGGTTTCCTTACAGCTTTTTTTTTTTTTTCTTGCAGGGTAGTCGGCCCTCTGATAGTTATTTTTTATTACTCTGATTGTGTATGGAAAGTGCTCCTGGATGGACCTGGGGGAAAACAGCTGGTCCATGGTCAAGCGAGAAGTTTCCAGCAGCCCAGGCTCGCCGGCCGAGCAGAGCTACCTGCCCGCTGACAGCAGCAGGAGGGACGGGACCACGCCTCCGAGTGAGCTGGACGTGCTGGGCCACCGCCGCCCGGACAGGTCGCTTCACTCCTACCTTCATTTCGGACACCACGGCAACGCCACGAGCGCCGGCGAGGACATCCCGCTGTTTACGGACTTGGATCAGGGGAGCAAGCTCGTCCTCTCCGCCGGAGCGCACAAGACCAGCCTGCTGGTGGACCCCGCAGACATGTACCAAACTTTGGCCATCGCCGCAGCCCAGAGCCAGACTGGATATGATTCTTCCTCCGGTGGTTACATGCACTCCAGCCCTAACTCCCCGGTCTACGTCCCCAGCTCCAGGGTAAACCCGATGATCTCCAGCCTCTCCTATCTGCAGGCTGGCGGCTCTGCGCAATCCGCGCACGGCGTCTCCAGCCACTCTGTTTGGTCGCAGTCCAACCCGGAGAGCCCATCGTCCTACAGCGCCGGGAGCCCTCACACCACCAGCCGGTTCCACTACCCCCCTAGTCCGCCTATGAACAACGGGACCCCCAGGGACAGTAGCTACACAAACACGCTGAATGTGGGCAGCAGGGACCAGTACGGCCTCTCCCGGCCCCTCAGTGGGACCTATCCGAACCCATACTCCCCTTATGTGACACCGCAGCTACCCTCACCTTGGACCGGGGGACCTTTTGATAACACCATGCTGCACACTTTGCAAAGCAGGGGAGCGCCCTTGATTAGAGGTCCAAACGGAGGTAAGAAAAAAAGAAGCGCAAAAGGCGACGCATGAAGTGGAATTAAATAATTATTTAAATTACAAAACATCATTTGAGTTGTCAAAATTGTTTAAATGAGGCTAAAGAGGTTTAAAGATGCGAGTGCATTCACATATAATTTTGCACATAGGAACAACTTCAAAAAACGTTCAAAGGGGATGACCAAATGGTGACTACAGCACATTTTGGGGATTTAAGAACTTGTTCATAATATTCTCAAATAGTTGTGGTTGCAAGTGACACGTAGCCGACATAAACATCTAAAAATTAATTCATTAAAAATACTTATAATTGAGAAATCAAATAAGATATAAATATTACAACTTATTCGGTTTATTTATATATAAATATATATATATGCCAGTGGTTCACAATAAATAAGCACATTATTGGACAGGAAAGTTTAAATTCATGCATGTCGGTAATATTTGCTGGACTGCTCAACACATTTACAGAGGTGGCCTCCTAGATCCCCTCATTGGCGGCCCTCCTGACTGCTCTAATAATAATGATAATAATTAAATTAATTAATAAAAATACGAATGTCAAAATAAAATAAAAAAAAACCATCAATCAACACTGACTAAATTGTTTTTACAGGTTCTATAACTCCTACATTTTTATTTTATACATGTCTACTATTGTAGAATAAAAAATTGCCCGACTATTAAAAAAAAAATAATAAAAAAAAAAGCTCTAAAATTAAATGTCTGGGGAAAAAAAAAATCACATATGATGAATGTGTTTTATTTTTAATTTTTTTGACCAAATGCGTTTGTTCTCAGTTTCAGATATCCTGGAGGACATGGCGGAGAGTAGGGAATGCGTGAACTGCGGCTCCATCTCCACGCCGCTGTGGAGGCGCGACGGCACGGGCCACTTTCTCTGCAACGCCTGCGGCCTCTACAGCAAAATGAATGGGCTGAGCCGACCATTAATTAAACCACAGAAAAGGACGGTAAGGAGACAGATAGATACGGGCACCGCCTGAGCGCTCAATTTCCTGCCTAATTGTCCCGAACAATTCCTGGAGGTCATAGTGAATGATGAAAGGAAAACAGCCTACTTATCAGTTCATGTTTTAACCCCCAGTCTTTGTCAAAAAAGATAAAATGTTTGAACATTTATTCTTTAAATAAACGATTAGGTTGAACTGGTCACCATCATGTTAAAATGATCAAGTGGATGCATAATTTATAATTTACCAAGAAAAAAGCTGTCCAATCCTAATCTCTAAATTATTATTTAAACCACACACAAGCTCAATATACTTTTTCTTCTTAATCCAGAAATATAATTTTATATTTTTTAAGCACAGCATGTTTAACAATTTAAACTTTTAGACAAATACTTCCTAGTTCCATTAAGCAGTGTTTTCACAGCCCATTTTTATCTCCTGCTCAAATAACAGGCTGTTAAAAGACGTCCACTTAAAAAGGGAAATCACAATAGAATTATATATATATTTTTAAAAAGGAATGATCTTTTAATGGCTGATGTGTGATTTTAATGGAGGGTGGTATTTTTTTTTTTAAACAACTTAAGACCAAATATTTTTCTTACACTTCAAAAAATGAAAATCTAAAAGAGTTTTTTACTCAAAATAAGTGCATTTTGTCTTGAACTGAGGTGGTTAGTGAGACACTTTGCCAATGGAACAAGACAATTTACATTTAAAACCAGAAAAAGCAACTGCATTGTCTTATTACAAGTGCATATTATCTAATTATTATTTTAAGAGTGAAAATACTCATTCCATTATCAAATCATCCCATTAACCTACTGAAATTAAGGGTAAATACACTTGATTTAAGAAATGTTTTACTTATTTCTAGATTATTTCTGCAGTGTAGTTAAGATTATATTTCCTATTTGCTCAAACAGTCAACCTCCAGAAGAATCGGCCTCTCCTGCGCAAACTGTCAGACAAGCACAACGACCTTGTGGCGTAGGAATGCAGAAGGAGAACCAGTATGTAACGCATGTGGCCTCTACACTAAGCTACACGGGGTGAGTTCAGTTTTATTTCAACATTCCTTCTAACAATCCCTTAATCAAACCCCTTGATTTAAATGAGATTTCCCTCTTTCACCATGTAGGTACCTCGGCCGCTCGCCATGAAGAAAGAGGGGATCCAGACACGAAAAAGAAAACCCAAAACTTTAAATAAAACCAAAGGATCTTCAGGTGAGATTTTATTTTGTTGCCCTGTCTGGCATCTGCCCTAAATTGCATCGATGTAATAATCGTTGTTTCCGTGACAGGCACCAACAACTCTGTCTCCATGACTCCCACATCCACCTCCTCATCCAATTCTGAAGACTGCTCCAAAACAAGCTCTCCCTCTGCACAAGTCTCAGGGGTAAGATTCATTTTTATAATTTTCCCTTCCTGACAGCTTAAAGACAAACTGGGAAGTGTTCAAAAGACCCTCAGTAGGTCCTGCCATCAGGTCCCATGAAATATTGGATACCTAAGGAGATGTTCATTATAATTCTGGGAGAAACAGGCACCCTCATTTTGCTTTTATATTTTTTTTTTCACCAAAAATTGGTCTAAAAAATTAACTTTATGTTAAAAAAGAATATAGTCCAGGGTATAAATTGAGGAATTAATGTTTTTTTCCTTATAAATTTTCTGAAGCCAAAAAATGCTTTAAATTTCTCTCTTTTTTTAAGAAATAGTATTACATTTTTATAAATCTCCAAATTATTTCAAGAATCAGTGCTTGGAAGATCCCTGTTAATATTTTTTATGACAAATGCCCCCCTGCACACTGAAAGTCTTTTCCTCTGGCAGTAAGGTACCATGGGTGGGGAGCCATATAATTTTATTTTTTTTTAAATGCCAAGGATAATGTACCGTGGTTGCCCTACATTGACAGGACAGATTTGCTCTTTGAAAAGGGACATAGTAAGATATTTCTATATTTCATATTCGACTCTATCAAATAAAGCTGGGATAAGATACATTTATTCAGACAAAAATAGGACAGGCCGCAGCAGCGATCTACAACAGCAGAAAAATAACTATATAGGATAGAAAACTAGATACTAGTTCAGTCATACTGGCAAATAAATATCGGGGCATGAGAGGTTTTAATGCTCACAATATAATATTCTTTGATAGATTCTTAAAGATTTTGTTACTTTTCTCATTTCCTGATGTGCTTTTCCCAAGTAGTTTAATACATGCAAAATAACTTCCACCATGTCTGTTTTTTACAGGAAACACAGTTTAATAGGGTTCTATCGCTAATCCAAATTACATGTGTGCTGTCAGAAACTATTGGCTAAACGAAAAAGTAGAAGCATAATAGCAGTAGTTATTGCTATGGTAGTGCCCTAAAATAGCCCTTAGAAATACAGGGATTAAGGTAAAATATCTGTGAAATAAAGTGTCTTTTCAAAAGGTTGTATTTGTTTTGATTTGCTTGAAAATTATATAAAGTTACTGGGACTGATACTAAATTTAGAGGATATATTTTTTTAGATTAGGATTTATTTTTCAGAAGTTCACAGGTTTTTCTGTAAAATCCATCAGGATTATATTAGATAGAGTTTGCCACATTGATAGCAGCATAGTCAGTTTTTTGTATCCGTTGTGCAATTTCCATAGTAAAATATCATTCATTTAATGAATAAGCAGTCTCTAATCCTAAGAATAAGTTTCCTTCAATCATGCTTCTAAATGATAAATAAGACAGATTTTTATTTTAAATGGGGCAATTCCATTTTTACTTTCTTTCCTCTCAGGTTTTAAATTTGTTCTTTGAAATCAATTCTCCTTATTTTGCATGTATTCTTTTGTTCAGTTTATAAATGCCAGTTCATATTGTCTTCAACTTAGATACACACAAAAAATAATTTGCAGTTTTATTCCAACTGTTTATAATATGAATCTGAATGGTGAGAAAGCAATAACCATCACACAGAGGGGGCTTATAGTTTTGTAATCTAAACTAGCAGAATCTATATAGCATGATATGGTTTATTTAGTAATTTACTTCTTCTTTACTCTGCAGTGTTTAACTTTTTTGGTAATTAATGTACCAATTGCTGATTGAATTACAGTTAAAATAAAGCCTTCACTATACTAGAGTCAGTTAGGTATAATAATGAAACCAAAGAAGAGGTCTTTGTGGATCTTGGAATAAACATTTATTCATGGCTTGGACACTGAAGAAGTTGGGTCAATCTTGCCTGTTTGCTTTATGCAAAAATCCTTTATAATTACCAGATAAAACAATAAACAAGATAAAGGTTTAACAAGTTCTTTAATTACCGTTAGGCTAATTTGAGAATGACAATTTACAGTATTTGAATATAAAACTACAATAGAATTGTTGTGTTTCAGTGTTTTGAGTTTAAGATATTGCATTAAGTAAGTCGTGTAAATGTATTAAGTAAAAACTATAAATGTATTCAAACTAGCCAACTACAGTACAGGTTCTGCAGCATAAGCAAAAGTAAACATTTATATAAATCACAGCTTATAAAAATAAGATAATGAGGGAAGATCTTGTTTTATAAATTAGCAATTAGATATTTAGACATGAATTATGCACAGGCTATTTGCAGGATCTGCTCTGTAAAGTGTTCCTCAGCAGTAGTTTTCTGTATCTTCAGCACATATTATAATATTTGCTTTAAATAGAAGACAGAAAAACACAAAAAAGAAACACTTTGTATACTGAACTTTCTCATCATAAAAAAAATCTAGAAGGGTAACATAATTCCAAAAGATGTTCCTGGCTGACATTTGTTTGCTTCTCTTGCAGGTCACTTCGTCCGTCCTGCCTGGCTCAGGGGAAGCAACCGGCTCAGGCTCAGTGGTGAAATACCCGGGACAGGACAGCCTGTACACCAGTGTGGGTTTGACCCAGCCGTCAGATGTAGCTTCGGTGAGGGGGGAACCCTGGTGCCCTATGGCTTTAGCCTAAACACTCAAAGTTTTGTGCGTGTATGTGTGGACAAAAATCCATGACCTCTCCTGTTATGTCTGGACACTAAGATGTGGATATATCTGGAGGATAGTGTTTGCCCCCCTCGATTTCCAAATGTGCCCCCCCCACCCCAGCCGATGCAAAAAGAATCCAACACGGAGGGAAAATGCGGGCTAGACAAGCACCAGTCAGAGTTTAACCTTGATCCATGCATGGAATTTCTGGGATTGGTGCTGGCATTTTGCAGTCAGTGGCAATGTCATGGTGAACAATCAGTCAGGTGGCGTGCACTGGATGGTTTTTAAGCCTGTTGTTCACTCTGATCTCTACTGCCAGTGGTTTTGTAAAGAAAAAAAAGCCATCCTGTAAATAACGGATCTCCCCTCCGCAGAAAACACTGCTGATTGGACAAGAGTGCTTGATGAAGCAATGAGGACGTTTAGATTGTTGTTCTTTTTTTTTTCTCCCCACAACTGGAATCACGCCGTAAGTGCTGAGATGACTTTGATGAATCAAAATAAAAAATATATATATATTTATAAATCTCCAAATGTTGAGAATGTGGCTATGATTGTTAATAAAGATATCAATATAGAGCAGATGTTAAACCATTCTGATGTCTTTTTTTTATTATTATTTTGTTGAAGTGTTGTTGAATCTGCACGTGTTTTCCACTGAGAGCTCTTACTGCTTGTATTGAAAGTAGTTTGGTAAAAACAGGGTATAAGTGTCAGTGTTTTCTTTCTTTAATCATTTGCTTCATAACATGCAAATTATTGCTTCCTTCTTGTTTTATACATTAAAACATTGTCAGAACTAGGGATGAGTAAGGTACTATTCTTAAAAGATGTTTGCATGCTACAGGATGATGTGTTTGAACAAACCTTAGCCAGTATATCAGAACGGCTTCACTACCTGACTTACCATAAACTTTACGTATTTTACTATCCCAGCATGTAATGTTTTGTCCTTTTTCAACATAAAATTAGATTAAAGTGGAGTGTACGGTCACTGCTTTAATACTTCATGTTAAATTGATTTGATTAATCACTGTAATGATTTTAAAATGGACTATTAGGGGATTATGTGCTTTGTTTTGGCGGAGCAAAATGACTGGGATCCAGAGTCAGCCTAAAGCATTCGTGTATGAAGTAAATGTGGGGGGCTTTGAACTTTTTTGTGCAAATGAATGTAGCCGGACCGTTTTCCTAAGTAAAATATATTGCAGCTGTTCTTTAGCTTCACCAACATTCCACATAACTGCAGAAATTATTAACAAAATTTAGAACATGGTAGCTAAAAGGAACCCAAATCCATTTCTGTTAAGGGACGGTTCCATGCGCCCTGAAACAGCCCTGCACCGCCTCTGCTGGAGTTGACCACCCGATAAATTCTTGAGTTCTTTGTCATGTTTTGGAACTTATTTTTAAAGAAAAAGTAAATCTAATCAACTCCAAAGAGACTGAAACTTGGAAGCAGTTTTATGAATTTAATGTTGGCTTCTTCTTATAGAACTTGCTTCAATTTTGTAAAGATCTTGTCATTCCCTCCCATGGACTTATTTATTTCTTAGAATAACATGCTCTCCTCTATTTTTTCTGTTTTACGTTTTCTGAAACACCATAAGAAATTATTATACTTAAATCTAGTCCAATAAATTGTTCTGATGAAGCAAATAGATTCAGTGTTTGTTTGGAAAGAGGTACAGTATTTTAAAGGCTGAGTGTTAGAGTTGGAAATTTATGGAGAGAGCCGTGGTGTTTGACACTCAAGCATTCCTTATGAGTCATTCACATCCATGCTTTCACTCCCTGATTCTGTGCTTGGTAAAAGCTTTACATTTCTTGAAGTTTTCAAGACCAATTAGTGGAAAGCAATGAAAAAAAAAAACATGGCTTCTTTTAGATACAGTAAATTTAGAAAAAAAAAATAAAATAAAAAAAAATCAAGGAAAATTTTGAAATGTTAAAGTAACACTTTAAGAGTGCATTTTGTCCCACTGAGAATTAGTGTTAAATACATAGTGTATATTTTACTCCAGTTGTTGTTGTAATAACTCTAAAAGAGTCAATATACACACTTTTAAAGTAGCTGCCAGGAATAGAAAACTTATGACCTCTTTTTTTTGTATATACCCAAAATAGCTGGTTATACAGTAGGGCTGAATACTACAGGTATTTTCCTTTTTCCTTTACAGCAGCTGGCTCACAAATAGCTTTCATTTATATCACTATAATCCTTTTATTTGAGCTTATTCCGGTGACGATCAATGGTTGTTTTGGAAAGCCATTCTTTTTTACTAGCTATATTTATCAAACCCTTTATTTTCTGTATTTTCCCTATATAAAACATAATATTGTTTGCCTTTTTAAACTTTTCAATGAACAAGGGCTACAGGTGTTCAAACAGATTTGTTGTTTACGATATAGTGTTTCCTTAATCTCTTAAATACTGCACTCACCTTTGCAGTCACCAATATCAATGAAAAACAGCTCCCTGTTTATCTTTTACTCTGCTTCTCTGTGCTGCATCATTATTTTTACTAATTCTGCCTCTTCCTTCCTTTTTTAAACATAATATTTAATCCCACTCTCTGTCTGTCTAGAACCAACTTGTTTTTAAGACATGACTAGAACATTGTCCGCATGGGGCAAAGACCAAAGCAGACTTTTACAATCTTACAACAACTTCAACCTCTAAAGCATGGCAGTGGTTAAAGCAATCTCTACTTTATGACTCCTTTAAACCGTCATCATGTTTGCATTGAATTACACAAAAGTATGATTATTTACACAGGAAGTAGAAGTGGGAGACGTGGACCACTTACAATCTTCCTGTGTGAAACATCAATTGTGTAAATGTCTAATATTACAGTATATAGAGAAAAACTATTTCATATGTTTAAGTGAACTTGATCCTAATGATTTTATGATGCTTATTATACACAGGAAGTTCATTGGTAGTGCACTGCCGTTAACATTCACTCCTTGTATAAATATCGTGAATTTTTCTCTCAATAACTGCTCAAACAGTGTGATGAAAACTAGAAAACTAGGAATTCCCACAGAACAAAAACTGGTTGAAAAGACATTGAAAAGGCGACAGAATATATGTCAAAACTATGTCTACATTTGGTTGAAAAAGGAAAGGTGAAAAGCTGTAATTTTCAGTTTGTGGAAAGGATGTTGAAAACTGCATTTTAACATCTTTTCAACATCTATTATTGGACTAAAGTTGGACAAAATCAGACCAACCAATCACAGCCCAATTTTAAACAACTATTTCTGGACTAAATCAAGACTATCAGAGGCCAATAAGATTAACTTAAAAACCAAGGCCTAAATCACTCTGGGTTATGAGTGGAGCTGTTTAACGATAAGAGACCAATTGGTTTATTAGCCATTAGGTTTAGCCTTCAAGACTCATTACTTCGCTGGTGTAGAGACTGTCCTGCCCCTGGTACCCCATAGCCAGAACCTGAAGAAATAGTAATCTGAGTTCATATGAAGCAAGATTTGTATTCCACAGGTAAGATATTGACTCTTTACATTTTTTTAAACAGAAAAATCTTTCTAAAGCAAAAATCATTGTTATCAGTTTCTCTCAATTCCACCATGACTGCCTGTGACATCGGTCACTTTGAACTTCTCAGCGAGAGTATCCCAGGACACTAGATTTTGAAACACCTAGCCGGTGCAGCTTGAACACATCATCAGTGAAGGACCCAGGGTCATAGGGTGTTTTGGGTCTTTGATCTTCAGACATCCTCGTCTGGGCGACCTAACTGGGGTTGATCAGGGCCCAGTTTGTGTTCAAGCAGCACGCTATTCCATGCGCCTCCCCTCTTGATCCACAGCCACCTTGAGGCTCTTTCAGCGGCCTCACTGATGTTTCTGGTGGCTGTTTTCTCAAGCAACCCTCTGATGCCAAGGAACCTGAATGCCTGACGCACAGTCTGACTGAGGAAGCCTCTGCAGCCCTCTTCTATTGGCTCACATCCACAGCGTCTGTATGCCTCAATCAGCTCAAGATATTTCACCTTCTTCCTTTTGTGAGCCTCCTCCATCCTGTCATTCCAGGGACTGTGAGCTCCAGTAACACGACTTGCTTTGTTGAGTCAGATGTTTAGACCAGATCTGGCCTCATTAACATCCTTGCAATGTGCTCTGGGAACTTTAACTGCCTTCCAAGATCCACATGCAACTGCCAATCCCGAGCCATGGCTAGCAGTCCAGTTGTGCCTTACCAGCTCTCTCAGGTTTCTCTCCTGCCCTGACAGAAAATATATTGTACCTCAAAGGAGACTGGTGCTTTGACTCCTGGATTCCAGTGCAGATGGTGTCTGCTACTGCCTTCAACACCTGGTTATGGCGCCACTTGTTCCTTTCCTCTCCCAGCACCTTAGGGCAGCAGCTCTGGATGTTCTCCAGGGAACCATGAGCAGGGCGCAGTGGGCTTGTTGGTGCTTCTGCAAGGCCCCAGGTATAAAGGATAGATGGACTTGGAAGGGCATCATACACTGACTGGATCAGGAACTTAAGTCTTGCTGGTTCATACTTCCATAGTTCTGTCCAGGTGACCTTTCGGGTGGATGCGTGTTCCAAATTGGTCAAGGCTCCTTGCTGGCACATTGCCACCGTCCTGCTTTGGCGTTCCTCCTCCACCTCTGCACAAATTTCTCCCTGTACAGTACCATCCGTCATCACTCTTGTCCTCAGGCTTGGTCGTAGCGTGGCTTTGCGTGGCTACCTAGACCAGCTCGTCCAACTGCCACAGAGCCAACTAAGACGCTATCTCTCACTCTCGCTTCTGCTTGGTTTACTGCCTGTTGTGCTCGCCATTTCCTCCCAGTTCTGACTGACACTGAATGTAGCTCCCCATGTTTTATTTACAAAAGAATAATCAGGTGGGCTATTCATGCACCTGACTTTATTTACATTAGAAATCAACCTGTGCAGAACACAGGAAGTTATATCTACTTACTGCAGCTGGCAGTCAGGAAGGAATGAAACACGACTCAGGTTACACAGACATTAGAACACTAATGTCGACAGTTGCACCCTCACTGGACCAGATGAAGAGCTTCAGAGTCAACATAGTAATTCCAAGTCAAAACAGCTAAACAACTCCCTGGTAAAGTGGGTTGCAACAAAGATTATTTGTCTTAGTAACTACCCTTAGGAGAAAAAGAATTGCCTCAGTGGTATGTATGTCATACATTTATTTAATATTGCATGCTGAATAGCAAATGTTAAGTTCTGAAAGGTAATACTTTTTTACAAATCTGTACTGTCATAGTTATGCTCTCAGTTTTAGAATTGAAAGCTTAACCCTTGTTTAAACTCTAAAAGGCAATATTGTATTTCTTGTTTCTGTGTAATTTTTTTTAACCATATTTAATGAAAGGAAATGTGCTATAATAATTTTCATATACTGTTCACAATACTATAGAAATAGTCTTTCAAAGTTGCATAAAATGTCATGGGTTACAAAAAAAGCTAAATGATTATAATTGTCAACAAATCTTATAGTTGAATAACCTAATTAATGTCTTCAAACAAGAAATTTGTCTCTGTGGTCATATTTTTGTTCATTCGGAAAATAAGGAGGTAAAAAGGTTTCTGATTTTAAAAGGTTGTTTATTTTGTTGATATACGGGTTTTGATTAAAATGCGATTAACTGGGATTAATTACTTACAGACCCTTTAATTTACTTGACTAAAATCATTAACTGAGTTTCATCACTAAAAGGAACAGGAAAGAAGATGAGGTCTGAATTAGAAATTCAAAGGACCACTAGTAAACTTGCAGATTGAGAGCGAAATGCTCTGTTAGGAATATAAGGAACAATCATACCTCTGATATAAGTTGGAGCTTGATTATTTAGGGCTTTAGACGGGAGAAGAAGGATTCTAAACTCTATGCTGGATTGATTAGGAAGCCAATGAAGGGAAGCTAAATAAGAGAGTTATGATCTCTCCGCTAAATTTTCATCAGAGCCCTCACTGCAGAATTTTGGATTTTTAACTGCAATCAATGGACTCCCTGGTAGTAAAGAATTGTTTTAGTCCAGCCCTGAAGTAACAAATGCATGAATTGGTTTTTCAGTCTCACTGCTGGTCAGAATATTTCAAATTTTTTGCAATATTCCAGAGAGTATTGAAATAATAATGAATGTTTTTGAAAATATAGCACTTTGGTTACAGTACAGACTTCAGTAATTAATATACTATTAGGTTACTTAAATGTTACCTTCTTTTGTTGATCGCAACAACTACATTTAAAGACTGTAATCTTTAATATTACATAAGAGGTTGGTCCGGGAGGTAGGGGTGGTGGTGGTGGTGATGGGCTTGAGGTCGGGTTGCTATAGGGGTTTAAGTACTGTGGTAACAGCTAGGTTAGTTTAAGAATATACAAATACAATGGAATTATTATTATGTTTTAATGTAATGAATTTAAGATCTTGCAACAAATGTGTTAAATGAAAAAGATAAATGTATTCCAGTGGGCCATCTGCAGTAAACCGGTACTGCAAGAAGAGTCTAAACAACAAAACATGGAAAAATTATTGCAAGATAA